CTTAGGGAAACGTGTGCGTGTTTGGATATTTAATGTGCAGACAGACTTACTGTATACATATGTAAAATATGTATTTTTATGCGTTTTTACATTTGAAGGATCAAATAGTTGCTTTTTTTCCTAAGTGTGCATGTGCGTTTAGCAATATCTGATATATATCTGATCAGATATGTGTCTGAGCTCATATATAGCTTTATAATATCAATAAAATATCTTAATATCTGATCAGATGTATATCTGAGCTCATATATAGCTTTATAATATCATTAAAATATCTCAATATCTGATCAGATGTATATCTGAGCTCATATATAGCTTTATAATTAAAATATCTCAATATCTGAGCATGTATATAGCCTTATCTCGTTGCCTGTGTGCGTGTGTATATATATGTATGTGTATGTTTGGATATTTATATATCCAAAGAATGTAAGAATATTACTCTTGCCAAGCTGCTGTCCAGTCTTCTGTCAAAGTGTGTGTTTGCTACAGCCCGAACATGTATTTGTGTGTGGCTGGTGAGCATAGTGTTGATTCAAAGAAAGTGAACAGCCAACGAGACTATTCAGCAGGTATTCTTTATTGCAGCACTGGGGATTGTTCCTCCATGAGTGCTCCGCCAGAGTCGCAAAATCGTAGAGGTTATATGTTGCACAATTATACGTATTCATGAAATTTTTGAGAACTGACTTACTTAACCATGAGATTTCCTGGACATCATTAATATGTATAAATGTCCATTTTGCATGCGCAGTTGTCTGCCTTGGTGGTCTTTCATAGTCTTCCTCAGTTGTCTGTTCGTTGACCGTTTTTCTTCCTTCTGTGCAGTGAGAAGTTTTCTACATACTTTGGACGGCAAGTTTGAAAGAATGCTTGTTAGCAGCTTCGTTATCTACACTTCCTTGATTATCTTCCTTTAACATAACCAGTGTTGCCTCAGTAGTCGGAACTATGTGCAAAAGGGTTAAAAGACTGTCACCTGCCAAGAGATTGAAAAGAAACGTGGTCTGGAGTTAGTCAGCTAAGGGTATTTACAACGTCATTTGTGTCCTTAGGTAGGTATTACCTTCTTCCATTCCTTACTAAAGCAAAGCACAGTCTTTATCAGGAAAGCAGATTCTCCCTATTTTGACATCTTGCAAATACGTGGTTTTACAATAGGCCCAGCGTTAAGCAAGCTCAGCAGTTTAGCATACATACTGTTTTAGTAGTTTACATGAAAGGCATGCTAACACTTTGTTTCAGTGTTAAGGTTTATGATTTGAAATGCTTTGCCAGATTGCATTCTGGGCAGTAGAGCAGAGCTTAATTAGAAGCAAATACTGTGTGTGATTTTTAGATCACTGCAGTTTTGGGTGCTTATCTATGTTTCGATTGCTTTACAAAACCAGAAGACAGTTCATCATTCCCCGACCCTCTTCTGAAGCTTATCACAGATAACCTATGAACTAATCAGATAGTTGAGGGAACAAAGTAAAGCACAAACTGTTTTGCACTCTGTTGCTCCCTGTCTGTGTGGTAGGAGCTCTCATACTGACTGCATGCCAAGATAGTGGCGTTGATATAGTTTCTGTTTAAAGTCAGAGCAAATTCAGGGTCTGGGTAAGTGCAGACACAGAGTATTTGTGGATTTTGAGGTACAGGAGTGCAAGCATGCAGATCTTTCTGGGCATTTCTGCATCTCCAGAGGACAAGATTTCCAGGTAGGTAACTTGTTCTGTATCTTCAGCTTGCCTGATGTACTATGTCATCCATCACAAAGTCAGAAAGTAATAATAAAGCCTGTATTTAACCTGTCTATTGACTTTTACTGCGACATTCTAATTAATGCTTGCATCTGACCTTTTTTTTTCCTGTGTCTGTTGCAGTGCTTCATGGCCACAGCAGGGTATTAGAGGAAACAGACATTAAGATATGTAATTTCTGCACAGCTGGTTGGAAAAGCTGTTGTCACTGCCTTCCTGGTGCAGCATGGCGTTTGGACTGGGTGCTCTCTGCCTGTTGCTATGGGCAGTCACAGGTAGGAGTTTACTTCTTGTGTACCTGAGTCGCAGAACAAGTGAAGCCAGTGCTCCTGGAGTGTGTGTGTGTGCAGGTGGGAATGAGATATGAATAAGGCACGAGCTGGGAAATCTTGTCACTCCTCAGTGCAAATAGTTGGTGTAAGGTGCAGCTTCACAGCTGGCAGTGCATCCAAGGGAGGCAGGCAGTGGTGAGCAGCTGTTTGGAGCCAGGTTCAATGGGGCTCTCGCCCAGATCCCTGGGGATCTCGCAGCTTGAAGCTTTTTGTTGAGGAGAACATAGAGCTGAGGGCTTTTTTTGCTGTAGTAAACGATAAGTATGTCTTTTGCAAGTAAATAAAATGCTCTCCTGTGAGGTACTGAGTACCTACTACAACATCCATGCCAGTATCTTCAGAAAAAAACACAGCAGCTTCAATAGAAGACAATAACGTGCAGTAAATACTGAATTTTGGCTGTAGAGAATGTCACATTTTTATGCTTTCTATAATGCTGTTAACTGTTAGCAAGCTAGAATATCCTCCATGTGCATATAGAAAGTCTTGTTCTTTAGTTGCAGTTTTTCTACTGTCTCTTTGTCTGGGAACAAGACCATTACACTCAGACTGCTGGCTGTATTCCAAACCTCTCCCTGTATCTCAGGTACCAGCACACAGTGTTTAAGGGCTAGTACATTGTAGTATCACTTACTTTAGTATTTATTTATTTCTGTCTCAATAATTTGCAGTATTTTCCATCCAACTAATATTAACTGTACCTCAACTGGAAGGTACTTGATGATTTCCAGGAAACATTTGCTGAAATACATCAGTAGATGCTCACCTTTAAGTCAAAAAGCCTTCTTTTTCGTGCAAGCTTTGAGGTGAATTGGCTCAGGCTCAGAAGTTTGCTAGATGTTAATTTTGCCATTTTTTTCTGCACAGAAGCTTGTGCTTTCAAAGGCTACTTGTTGTTTAAAAAAAAGTTTTCTTACCACTTCTTTTAACTTAAGATAACAAGAAGGCTGACTTAATATAAGAAAGGCTTGACATTGCATTGTTGAGAGAATAGAGAAATGGTCTCATTAGTGGATATCTTTGGAAGAATATTGAAGAATATGCTCTGCTTTGTCAAAAGGCTACTGTCTCCTGTTTACATTCCATTTGTGGTTTTTATTTTGTGCGTGGTGGCTTTTGGCTAATAGTGCTTGACTGCTTTTCATGAATGTGGTGGGTTGACTTTGGCTGGCTGGCAGGTGCCCAGCAAGTCGCTCCATCACTTCCCCTTCTTGACAAGACAGGGGAGAAAAATGTGATTAAAAGCTCACGGATCAAGACGGGGAGATGGCATACCAATTACAGTCAAGAGCAAACCAGACTTGATATAGGGAAGTTAATTTAATTTATTGTCAATTCATCAGAGTAGGATAATTAGAAGTAAGAACAAATCTAAAAACACCTTTCCCCCACTTCTCTCCAGGCTCAACTTCACTCCTGACTCCTTCCACCCAGCTACTCAGGGGGATGGGGAATGAAGGTTGCTATCAGTTCATAATGCTTCATCTCTACTGCCCCTTCCTCAGGCTCTTCCCCTGCTCCAGCGTGGGTCCCTCCCACAGGATGCAGTCTTTCACTAACTTGTCCAGTGTGAGCCCTTCCCATGGACTGAAGTTCTTCATGAACTGCTGTAGCATGGGTCCTTTCCCTAGGGGTGCAGTCCTTCAGGAATAGACTGCTTCAGTGTGGATCCTTCAGAGTCACAGGTCCTTCCAGAGAACATGTTTCTGTGTGGGCTCCTCTCCTCAGGGCTGTGGTTCCTACTGGGAGGCTGCTCCAATGCGGGTTCTCTGTGGGGTCACAGCTTCCTTCAGGGCTCATCCACCTGCTCTGGTGTGGGGCCTTTCATGGGTTGCAGGGTGGATTTCTGCTCCACTGTGGACCTCCATGGACTGCAGGAGGACAACCTGCTTTGTCATGGTCTTCACCGCAGGCTGCAGGGGAATCTCTGCTTCAATGCCTGGAGCACCTCTTCCCCTTTGTTTACTGATCTTGGTGTATGCAGGGTTGTTTCTCTCACATATTCTCACTCCTCTCTCCTGGCTGCTGCTATTCTGCAGTGTTTTTTACCCCTTCTTAAATGTATTATCACAGAGGTTCTACCAGCTGTGGGTTCCTCCTGGAACTGGCTCTGTCCGACATGGGGGCAGCTTCTTACAGGAAGCCACCCCTGCAGTCTGTTTCCCCCTCACCCCCTGACTACCAAAACCTTGCTGCACAAACCAAATGCAATGAAAAACAAAGCTTGAACAGTAGGCAGATCACCTAAAGGATACAGATTATCTACCACTGACTAATGTTTGTGCCTCTCAGGAGGCTTGAACTGGATATGGCAATAGATGGTGTGCCATGTATACCACGTACCATGTCTTTGTCACTCAGCATCTCATGCAATCCGGATGATGGACTTCCCAAACCTGTGGATGCAGCTCCTAATTTCTCCACATAGATATTCCTTATAACACCAGTCTCATTTCACTGGCTTATATCCATTCGTTGATGAAAGCGGCGTATATTTTTATGTGAACTCATCCAAAATTATTTTTTTTTCCTATGAGAGAGAGAAGACATTGCTTTCCACCACAGGAACAACAGTTTGCTTTGCAACTAGGAATCCAACACCTTGGAATCAATTCAGTCTAGCGCTCATCTTGAGCAGGTGTATTCTAATCTGCTATTGAAATGCAATATATAATAGCATTATATTCTGCAAATATAATATCATTCTCCTGGCTGACTCTGTTTTCTTGTATTACGTGTTCGTATTGGCTTGCCTTGTTCTGAGGTTAACCACTCCAAAAATGCAAAGATGAGTTGGTTGGTAATTGCAGTCACAGGTGTTGTGCATGCACCTTGATTCCATTTTTCCTGTCCGTCAGCTCGACAGATTGGAGCTGGAATCCGTTAGGCAAGCTGCCTTTTTCTCCACCTGTTGTGAATGATGATGTTTCTGCTGCCAGAACTCAACAGACAGCTTTGTTCATGGTGTCCAAGACAGGCAGAGTCAATGTTGTCTTCCAGTACTGTGTTAGCTCCAGAGTGGTGATATCTTGTTTTCGTTGGTTGAGTTAGCAAGTCTGATCGAAAATCATTTTAAGAAAAATGTCCTGGTCTTACTTATCTGATCATGCTTCAAAAAACAGTTTTTTTCAAGTTGCATTTGAGAGAGAGGAATTCTGAAGAGCAGTTATAACCAGGAAAAAAAAAACCACCTAGAAAAGATGTTAAAAATTGACTGAGATATATACTATGTTGATTCATGCTTGATTTAAACACTTCACACTCAGTCTGTGGTGTGCTATGAAAATAATTCTGATGTCATACTAAAAGACTACAGTTTCCCTGCAAAGAGAGGAAAGATGCTCCTGGAGTAAGCTCTGGGGGTTTCACGTGAACTAATGGCTAAAGCAGCAAAAGTTTGAGAATTTGATCCAGCTTTTATATTAAGCCCAGTTAGTTAATTACATTAGTGTGAGGGACTCTTCCTGAAGTTCAAGTGAGATGGCAAATGTTTCTCCTATGTAGATTTTTGCTGCCTTCTCCCTCAAATGAAACAGTGACATGTTACAACGTCTTATTTGAGCTTTGTTTTAAAACAAGTTTTGCACACTGTGCTGGTAGCGGAGGTACCTCAACAATTTTTTTTCATGTTCCCTGTTTTGGTTTTTAAATATTGGCAACTCACTTTAATCTCTTTATGTATTTGTAGCAAGGGAGTAGGAGATACTTTGCGAAAAATATTGAGATCCTCCAAAGTACAAATACTGCTGCAAAGGAACATGCTGGAAAAAAAGTGATGATGACATTAGTGAAAGGAAATCAGTTTGTTTACACAGAGGACCACTTGTCTTTATCTTGCCTCCTGTGATAAGCCAGTTTTGGTCACAGTAAACTATATTATGACTTGGTTGTAGTGTTGTGCCTTATGTTGGTGGTGTTGTTTCAGGTTCCAGTGGTGAGCCGTGCCGGGAAGGAGCCACGTACTCGGGTGCAGTAATATCTCCCAACTTAGAAACTACGAAAATTACACGAGTTCCTCATGCTCTGTCAGTGCCTGACTGCATCGCAGCATGCTGTGACCTCTCTGGTTGTGACTTGGCCTGGGTGTTTGAACAACGCTGTTACATCGTGAACTGCCAACACATAGAGAATTGTGAACCTAAAAAAATTGAAACTGTGAGGTCCTATCTTACTTTTGTGCTGAGGCCTTCCCAGAGGCCAGCCTTGTTGCTAGGATTTGAACAAGTGATCCCAAGCATGGTGGGACTCCAGAATGAGCCATCTGAGGAAGCAAGTAGTCTGAAGAAGCTGTCTCTGCTTGGAAAAGAACCCAGCCTTGAGGAGATACCGGAATATATTGATGATTATAAAGAGTTGGAGCAGGACCCCTTTCAGGTGAGCATCAAACACGAGCAGAAGGAGAGCACGGATTATACTGACTGGGGCCTGATGGTGGCAGGTGAAGATGGCTTCAACTCTTCAGTGGGTGATGGTGGAAATAACCAGGAAAACTTTGGTGAAAAGAAAGGGGGGGCTGAGAAGGTGGAAAGCCTTCTGAATAAAAACAACTCTGAATTGAGCTTTGTCATTGAAGACTCCATCGAGAGGTTGTCATCCCTCCCGGAGGTTACACCGTTCCCTGGGAAGACATCTGAAAGCAAAGCAGCTACTCAACCTCTTGCACAACCTGATGTTGCTTTCCAAGAAGAGGTATGTATGCCCCTCAGGAAGCAGGCAGAGTCTGGTGAGTCCACTTTGCAATTGTTTTGGTTTTTAAGTCAAATTAGGCTGCTGCTTTGTGATGTAACCCTAACACTCAAATGACTTGCAGTCCAATTACTGTGTAGAAAAGGCTGAAGGGGAGAGGATTGTCTTCACAGGCAGAAGAATCACTAACAGACTCTTCTGTTCGATAAGGAGCTCAGCTGATAAAATTTACAGTGATGTTCTGTCATGCACTAGAGTTGCAGTTAGTTCTAACGAAGGGCAGTAGCTGGGCTGTTCTTACAAAGTTAAAATTAAGGAAACCCAACCACCACTCTACCAAGCTCATCTCCCATTTTTCCTTTCTTCTGGTAGGGGAAGCTAACAAGCATCTTTTAGTTACTGCCTGTGCTGCGTGCTGGAAATGGAAAGAACCTATGTATAACTGTGCATCATCATGCTTTTGCACTTTGGGCGTGCAGTAAGACTTGAAGCTTGTGTTTTGCTGGCAGATGGAAGCCACAGTAGCACTGTGCCAAGCTTTAGCCGATTGTCAGGGTCTCTGGCAACTGAACTGCCGATGCCCTTCGTCTTAGAGAAGTTGTACATCCTTGAGTTCACCTAAAGTGGCAAACAGCTGAGTGAATTTGTTCCCCGTCTTGCAGTGATTGTGTGAATGCAGCTTTATGAAGTTTGAGATGTCACATCCTGCAGTGGCAACTATCTATGGCCAAGCCTACTTTGTAAACCTCTACTTCGATTTTGCCACCTCAGCTGGAATAGAAAGATTTAGCTTTCTCTTTGTTCACTGCCTGTGTAGATGGGAGCTGATTTTTCTCACTGGAACATGGAGAAGGTGTTCCAGTGTGGTGTTTACGTTGTGCTAGTGCAGCTGTTGAAATTCCTGTGGAAAGGCTGAAGAATTAGCTTGCTTCTTTCAGTGCAGAAGGGATGAAGCTCCAAAGCTGGGTCAGTCTTTAGGCCCAGCTAGTAGTGATGTTGAGGAGCTGATAAGACAACTGTAGTGAGAAAGTGATGTCAGTGCTCCTTTAGCAGAGCTGTAGAGGGTTGATGGGACAGCACTGAAGGCTGTTCATGAAGTGTATTGTGACATGACTCTAAAGGCGCTCTCTTAATGTAGAGAAAGGTTAAAAATCTGGAGAAAGTTTTGAGAAACCTTTTGTCACAGCTGCCTCCTTTTGTCACAGCTGAAGTTTGGACAGAGGTGCATGATGACCTTTTTCTGCTAAAACAGTACATAGACAAAGAGTATCTTTCAAACAATCTTAGCATGTCTTGCTGGCAAGTAACAAATCATCTACATATTTTACAGGTGTAGAACCTCTAGGTAATGTTTTTCAAGTAATCTTTGAGCAAATGAGAGAATATTGTCGGAGACCTATTGAACTCCGGGGGCAAGCAGGTCCACATTAGTTGTTGGCCTTCCCACATAAGTGCAAACAGGTGCTGGCTATCTTCTGCCATAACCTATTGAACTCCGGGGGCAAGCAGGTCCACGTTAGTTGTTGGCCTTCCCACATAAATGCAAACAGGTGCTGGCTGTCTTCTGCCATGGGAATCCCACAATTTGACCCTTATGGTTCAGTTTATTAGTCTGAATCCCACAATTTGACCCTTATGGTTCAGTTCAGTAGTCCGAAACCCCTATATACCCCGAGATCCATCTGAGTCTCCTTTGTCTGGTTGTTGCTGTTTGGTGATGTTCATCTGATATTTCCCAGACTGGGTTTTAGTGTCCTTGCTCCCCACAGTAATTTGAACAGTCATTTCAATTACCTTAAAATAGTTGCCTACATCAGAGGTGGTTTGGTCCACAAACGCTCTTGCCATACCACTGCTGCTGCTTCTCCCACCTCAGGGGAAGTTCTTCCAATCAGAATATCATCTATATATTGGTACAGCTTCACATCTTGGGGAAGGACTGTCTGTAAAAGTTCAAGTGTCTTCAGAGCCATAAATTTACCTTGTGTCATCATCGTCATCTTGAAGCACAGCACTTGCTTGTTCACGCTGGTAATCTTAACTCTTTGCTGTCCAGATCGCATGCCCCACTTCTCAGCATCTTGTTACTGTTGAAATTTGTGCTTCCATGTGGATTAAAAACTTCACCAATTGTCCTTGAGGATCAACTGGAATTAAATGTATGTGCCATTATCACTTATCCACTAACAAGCCTCTGTTTTCTGGATAGGCAGGTCCAATTGCATTCTGGAGACTACTTGGGTTTTGGCTTCATGTGCTGCAATTTCTCCCTAACGGAGAGGAAGGGGTTTGTCTCCCTTTCTGGGGACTGGTGCCGGAGGAGTTAAAATACACACCTTCCTTTCACTGTTATCTTATTTCTGGAATGCTTCAATCAGACTCAAAATAAGCCTGTAAGCTGACCTTGAATCCAACCTCTGGGAATGCCTGGGGCCGATGCATTCCTCCAGAATTGCCAGTTGCCATGAGCCTGCTTTTCTGGGAAGTTGGGACTGGGATTCACTCCATGCCTGTGTAAATAATTGGTGATACTGAGTGTCATCCTGCCAATTTGTCAGTTTGTCCTGGATGTGCTTTCCTCGCACGAGAGAAGTGGCAATATATATTATTTATATAAGAGAATGAGTTAACAGGATTCCATGGCAGGCTACACCTGATTATTTACTGCATAGAAAAGGACAGGATCAGAAAAAACTGTCTGAGAGACCCTCCCGTTGGGTCACGAGGTTCAGACTGGACCCCCTTGCTTTCTAAAGTCCTGCTCAGAGAGGAGTCTAGGTGCAGCTGGATCCAGTCCTAGTCCCAGGCTTGGTCAGTGGTGTGTGTCTGAAGGATTATATGTGTGCAATCAATTCTTTATATTACTCAGCTAAGATCTCAAAGTTTCAGTGCTCTTATTCCCTGTTCACTTACTGAGTATCTGGCTTGGATTATACCCAGTGCACATGTTAGAAAATCTCTCAGTATTTTCTCTTGACCTCAGCAATACAGAGGGAGGAGTATAGGGAGGTGCAGAGACCGACTCTCTTAAATTACAACTGCTGCAGCTAAAGTCCCTCCTCGAGGTTTCCGTACTCCTCTTTGACCATCCTCTTTCTGGGGGTTATGTGCCATATTATCCCAAACATACCAATAATCCATTTTCTCTGGAAATCTTATATTCTAGGTGGTGATGTGAAAAGTTCAGTTGCCCTTTGTCAGAAGTCCCTTGCAGTGACCAACACCTGGAGGGTTTGTCTCCTTTTGTCAGAAACGGCCAGTCTTCCTGACATAATGTAACTGCACACTTTTTAGATAATTCTGCTGCACCATAAATTTTTTTATTAATTTTGTCATACCTTGGTCAAGGGTATCCCCTTTTCTGTGCCAAGTTTATCTTCCAACATCATTAGTGGTAAGGAGATAAAAAGACATGAACAAGTTCTGATCTGAGCAGAGGTAGTAAGAGGCAATGATTGTATTGTGTTTGTGTGCGTACAACATGAAGGCGATACTCATCACGCAAGCTTCCTGTCATTGGCTTTTAAAGGTTTATGACTATATTTAGACCTGTCCTACTGTTCTTCATTATTTTGAGAACTGATAGCTTTGGTTGTATTCTAGGTTGCCTCATTTTGATGACCATAGCCCACCCTGTTTAGCATCTGAACCTTGGAAAATGATTAGCATTTCTTACAAAGCCTCATGGCAAAAAAAAAAAACCAAAAAACCCCCAAACCACAGAATACACAAAAAAAACCAACACCCCTCCCCAGTCCTCCTTCCATAGATATTCTGTGTACGAATAAAACCTCCTAGTAACATAAATCAGAAGGTTTGCTCTATGTACTATTTAAAAACCAGCATACCTCTTAATCTAGAAGTGTGAAAAATGGCTCACTTACAATAACGTTCCCTATAATTCATTTTTTCAGGCTGCTACACCTTTCCTTTCTTCAGACAAACTGGATTTCTCCCCAGGTGTGTCAGAGAAAACCCAGACTCTCCCAGTGGTCCCAGAGAATGTCACCGAAGGTGGGATCACGCTGCTTCCCAGAGCAAATACTGTGCCATCTGAGCCCATGCAGCAGTTGGTACCACCTGCTACTGCTGCCAAAGCAGGTAAGGTTTCAGCAGAGCCAGAGATCTGAGGGGTACCTGCAGTTTGGACAGCAGGCAGGGATGGCTTTACTGCTGTCAGACTTCCAACCTGTTGTTAGTTATGAGCTCGCTCTTTATCCAAATGTAACATCATCCCACTTTGAGCATATAGACCTGCAGTAACACTGCCAGCTCCAGACTCCTCAGCCAGTTACTTCTGAGGCAAAACTGACCAAGTCTGTCATTAATGGGAAATTACAACTTAAGCAAACATAACAAAGTAAAAAGCAGAAAGATTAAGAGCCTTTTTAAAATGGGGTCATTTTTATACTTGTTGAGAAGTACCTGAGACTTTCTTGAGTTCCAGCATAGTCTCTTCTAGTCATACTGTTATTTTTGTGTGACTCTTCAGAACATTGTTCCATCTCAGAAACTCTTCGTAGGGTTCCCACCATCTATAGTTGTCAGATATCATGCAGCAACATAAATAGGACCTGAGGAGGCTCAGCCCTTAGTAGGGAAGAAGCCTAGCCCTTGGTAGGGGAGAACATGACCTCCTCATCCTGAGAAAAAAGTTTTACTCTGATCTCAAAGCTATGAGGAAGCTTATCAGACTTCCAGCTGCAGAGCACAAGTTTTTGTTTTGAAAAGGATGTATTTAACCACTATGTCCTCTGTAGTCGTGTTAAATTCTGTGTATATGTTAGAGCATCTCCTTTCTCCTGATGAGTTTCCTGCCTCCCTGTGCACCCTGAGAAGGGTCAGAAGGGCCACAAGAAGCAGAGAAGAGTGGTGCTCTGCACTTCTGATATACTGAGGGATATGGAGAGCTAAGCCCTTTGGTAGAGCAAGTCTGGTTTGGGATGTTCTTTGCACCCTCTGCCAAACTGCAGCCTGCCAGCTGGGATAGCGGTAGGAGCTAGCAGAAGTGCTACAAGAGATCCCTCTCCAAGGCAATGGATCATCATCACCATTGAGTGTTGACTAGGCAGCTGCTCCTCTTCCTCTGCAGGAGGAGGCTGAAGAGGATTCAAGAAGGAGCTTGGTAGAAGCTGAAGGGAGGGTTGTGATGAATCTCTTTGTGCAAGGGCTACCTCAAGTTTGTGTGTGCTGAGCCCTGCTGGCTGGGAAGTCTCAGACAATCCTTCCTTCTCTCCTTTGATCATCACCCTCGTCTTATTGTTTTATCCTCATCTCATGTGGAGGTCAAAGGATTTTTAAAAGTACAAACCTCTGCTCGACTGGTGTCTAGGTGAAGTCCCGTGAGCAGCTATGGAGCCTTGGGTGTGTTTGAGTAGCAGTGACAAAGTGTGCTGTCAGTGTGGCCGTGACACTTACCTGTTGGCTGCCACTGCTGACTGGCCCCTTGCTCATCCATTCAGTTTGTGAATTGGACATTTAGACACTAGTGAGTTGCCTTTGGACAACCTTTGTTCTGTGGGCTCAAGCCTTGAAGACCTTTTAAATCTTTGAAATATAGGTCTATAGGAACCTTTCCTGAAGGTTTAGTACTTTGTGAATTGGACATTTAGACACTAGTGAGTGTTGCCTTTGGAGAACCTTTGTTCTGTGGGCTCAAGTCTTGAAGGCCTTTTAAATCTTTGAAATATAGGTCTATGGGAACCTTTCCTGAAGTTATGCTTTAGTACGTTTCTGCTGGGACTGGATTTGTGGACTTTGGCATTTTTGGAAGAGGAAAGGGTTTGCACAGATGAGAACTAGGAGAGTGTTCCTGGGTGGCAAATAGATTGAATGTGCAGGACAGTGAAAGGACACCTTTGCCCTGCTATACAAGTGGCATTTTTGAAAGGGACGCCGAGCTGGACATAGAGGCATGCCTCACAAGTGCCACAGAAACACAGCAGCAGTGCCTCTTGGTGAAAGAAGGCGTGATAAATTAGAGTTCTAGTATGGGCTACGTTGCTTTGTTTAATGAGATTTATTCTGGTGCAAACAGCTTTTTGTCTTCTGTAATCGGATATTTTCGAATTCTTGCTTTTCTCTAAAACAGAGGAAACGATGCTTCATATTTGCAGAATAAGAAAAATTTTCGTTTGGTAAAAGGTGAAGGAGCCGTAGTGATAATTACAACAGGTTGTTACTTGATTATGTATTGAGGAATTTTTCATTTCTTTTTTTTTACTTATCCTGTCTATTCACTGTAGAGTGTTTGTCAAATTTTACGTAGTCCATTATAAATACAATGTTTACAAATAATATTGGAAGATACTAAATTTATACTCATATCCCATACATAACGTACTCATTCTATCTTAGATACAGTAAAAGAACTTATCGTGTCTGCTGGAGATAACATACAAGTGATGCTGCCCAGAAATCAGGTTGAACTGAATGCCTTTGTTGTCCCACCACCGCCGACAGGTGAGTTGAATGGCCTTGGCATGCAAGGAGATGCACCCACTACCAACCTGTACATGCAGACAAGTCCTGAGTTATGTGAGCAGCTGCACCTCAGGATTAAACCATTTTTCTCATCTCCTACAAGTACCTTTTTCACGTCTCCAACTGCAGAGAGGATTTCCTCCTTTGGATTTTGGAGATATTTTTTTTAAAGTGGCTTTTATTTTCAGAACCTGAACTCATTAGTGAGATGGTTCAATAGAAAGCCTGTAGTTCCTACCAAAAGATCATAGAATGGTTTGGGTTGGAAGGGACCTCAAAGATCATCTAGTTCCAACCCCCCTGCCACGGGCAGGGACACCCTCCACTACACCAGGTTGCTCAAAGCCTCATCCAACCTGGCCTTGAACACTTCCAGGGATGGGGCGGCCACAGCTTCTCTGGGCAACCTGTGCCAGTGCCTCACCACCCTCTGAGTGAAGAATTTCTTCCTTAGATCTAATCTAATGATGTGGCCCCAGTTGTAGCATCTTGTTGTAAAGCAGAGGAGGGGAAAAGTAGGTTCTGAACACCAAATTTATATTAAAACTACCAGCTTCCAAGCTGCAGCAGTAAATAAAAATTTCACAGGTAGCTATGTGAAATGCATTCCCTTCACGTGAAGCTGTTTTTTTGTGAAGTCAGTTGTTTGTGAAATCCGTTACATCCGTGCTGCTTTGCCAAGTTACCACACACTGTGGAAGTTTAACATGTATTTGTAGTGCTTCATTTTGCAGTTTTAGTCATGACTTCCTACTGTAGCATTTTATCTGATGGATGGTGAACTTGATTTCTTTGCTTCCTGGGCTTATCTTGAAGGCAAAGCTGATACTCTTATGCTGTGTTATTGCTCTTAGAAACAGCCTACACCTATGAGTGGAGCTTGATCAGTCACCCTGCTGACTATGGAGGTGAAATGGAGCGTGGGCACAGCCAGACCTTGATGCTCTCTCATGTAAGTGAGCTGTGAGCTCCAGCCCGTTGTGTTGGTGTGGTCCTTGCACAGCAGCCTGACCTGTGGGGAAGAGCACCAGTGGGTGTCACAGTCATCTTCACTTGCATGTGTCACCAAATCCTTGCCAGATTGGGACTGTCTTTTTAGAGTGCTCTAACAATTTTCTAATATGGAGTAAAAATTCCCAAATGTTTGCTTTGTAGTCTCTGCTTCTGGGCAGTGACTAGTGGCCTTTTACGTATGTGTCTGTAAAAGGAGCTCTAGGTTTCAGATATCCAGATTTTCCCTGTTTCTAATATGATTGGCAGATTTATGCATGCTGCTTTTGTGTAATTTGACATGTAACTCGATTTGTTCTGTGTTTGTCTCAGTTATCAGTGGGATTTTATGCCTTCAAAGTGACGGTTTCTGGTGAAAATGCCTTTGGGGAAGGTTTCGTAAATGTCACGGTCAAACCAGGTAAATCAGTTGGCTAAGATAATGAAATTAATTTCTTCAAGACGAGTTGTTGTACAACATGTTTATCTAATAAGCTGTCTTTTACTGTCTGTCAGGGACATCTGGTAGTCCAGCCACACAGAGATGTTTGATACCTTGGTGTCTATAAAGCATTCCAAGGAAGTAGAGTTAAGGATCTTACGGTGTTTGAGTGCTCCCTGGTCTTGTGCCCTCCTTAGGCAAGGCCTGAGAGAGCATCATGCCACCTTCTGTGGTCCCCTTCTCCAGTACAGCCAGGAACAGCAATTAGGAGCTGAACTGGCTCTAGCTGCAAGTTACAGTGCACGGGTCTGATCCCAATTAGACCAGTTAGAAATCACTGCAGTGGAGGACTGCTGCATCAGTGCACTGCTCTTGTGTAACCTTTTCTGTCCCCTGTCCAAAGGACAGCAGATGCTGCAAAGCTGTCAGTTGTAGATCTAGATCATTGGAGACTATTGAT